ATTCAATTGATTTCAATCAATTAAATAGATTAAAACATACTTATAATCACCCTTAATAATACCTACTCGACTTCTCTCAAACTTAATCTTTGCTTTTCTTTAATATTTTTTTAAAATTCAATACTATTACTTAAAATTTAAAATTATTTCATTTTAGTTTTTACAGAAACATAATTCTATATCAGACATCAACCTCAAAACAATTGAAAGGCATAAATACTTGAAAAGTCATATAGATGCTGAAGATTATGATATTACTAAAACTCCTACAAAAAAAAAATGTACACGCTAGTAACTTATCATTTTTATTATTTAAACATTTAAAATCATTATTTCTTTTAAATAAATAAAATTTATCTTAAAAATTACATAAAATTACAGGTGTATAAAAATAATAAAAGAAGCCGAAAATGATGCAAATTGAATAAAGTTTATTTGAAGTAATAAGACTTTTTGTTGATATATTTTATAATATTTTTTATATTTTTTCCTCCAATATTATTATTCGTATATTTTAAAGTTTGCTAATTTTTAATTAAAATTTTTATTTTTATTATGATTTGATATTTTAATTATATTATTTATATTTTACATACATTTTGAACATGTAAATAATTCAATAATATTAATTTATATTTTTATTTAAATATAAATAAAATAAAATAATTCATGCATCACACAGGTAGGAAGCTAGTTTAATATATAATTTAATAGGGGTATTGTAATTATTTAAAAAATACCACATGTCAAATTTTCATGAAGTAATGATAAAGATATTTTAATAATTTAATATGTAATTAATTTTATATTCTGTTAAAACTTAATATGTAATTTAATAGAGGTCTTATAATGATTTTCAAATAAAAATATCACAAGTCAAATTTCTATGAAAATAGTAAGGGTATTTTAATAATTTAATATATAATTAATTGTATATTATGTTAAAATTTAATATGCAATTTAATAAGTGAATTATAGTAATTTAATAAGGTTAAAATTCAATATATAAATTAATAATGAGGCACTTGATTCATAGAATCTTAGATATTAGGAAAAAAAGTGATTTATGAGAAAGTGTAAATTCCTAGCAATGGGTGATTCTTTTTGTGATGAGAATGTTATATTTTTATATTTGGTTTGCAGAATCTTAGATTATATAATAAATATTTTTTTACTATATATCCTTCATTATATGTGAATAACACATGACAAGCATTCAACTGTCAATTATATTATTAAAATTAAATCTATTTAACTATTAAACAAAAAAAAAAAAAAGGTTTTCATTGTTATAATGTTAAAAATAAGGTGGTCTATTATGAAAAAATATATATATCTAAAATAAAGTTAAAGACTATGTTTTTTTAAATATAAACATAGACTTTGACCCAAAAAAAATCATTATAAACAATCACTATATTTATTCATGTATAAATGTGGTTTTTGTTGTCAACTACGTTTGAAATTAAAAAACATAGTTGTTGTTAGTTTATCAATAACTACGTTAATAGTGCTAGTTCAACTATTTGGAAGTTAATATTGTCTTTGCTAGAGATTAAGTTTTCATTCCCCTTATTATTATTATTATTGTAGTTGTTGTTGTTGTTGTTATTATTGTTTTGTTTTCATAATATTATTTGATCTTCTTATTATATTTAAATGATGCAAATGTAACCATGTTAATTTACTATTTGATAATTTAAAAAGGTAAATAATATAAGTCACCTCATTGCTTGTCTCATGACATCAATTTTATACAGTGTGAACAATTTTTTTTCCTAATGTAGTAGACTTGGCAATTTATGTTACTGTGTTGTGTAAAATATTGTATTCATGTCGTGTTTTGCATAAAAATTGTGTGTCATAGTTTATGTTGACATGAAAACATAAAATATATTTTTTTTTGATTTTATTAAACATATTTTAATATATTTTCTAAAAATTTTAATCGTGTTATCTCGTATTTCTTTATTATTATATTTTTATGGTATTAACTAATAATTTAAATGCAAGTAACTTTAAGTAGTCATTGGTTAACTAAAAGACATTTATATATTTATTATCAACCACCATGCTTTAAAACTTAAAAATGTGGTTTTTGTTAGTTTATCAATAACTATGTTTTTATAACTATAAATGTAGTTATTGTTATTAAACACTACATTTCTTACATAAAAAAGATAATTAAAACAATTTTAAAAAATTATAGTTAAAACTACCATTTATCAACAATTACATTTCCATAACAAGAAACATATTTATTGATATGCATGAAATATTCATATTATCAAATATTACGATTTTTATATAAGAAACATAGTTAGAAGTAACATAAATATTATATTATAATATTATATCAATTTACATGTTACCTAAGAAACATTTATGATTATAAAATATCTATTTTATTTTATTATTATTTTAATTGTTATACTATGTTTCATATATAAAAAATGTAATGCTTTTGAAAATAAAATAAAAAATCAAATCCTAAATTTATAGTTATCTATAATGTTTTTTGATAGCACTAAAATATATAGATATTTATAAAAAAATTTTGTGCAAATATTTTGAAATTTGCTTGAATTTAGTGCCTTTAATGTTTGTTTTCTTGATTTTTAGGTTTATATGCTTGAGACATGAATTTCATGCAAAAGTTCATGCAATATTAGGACAAGCCTAATTCTTGTTAAATTCAGCCATGCAAGAACCATATTTGCTGAACCCAACTTGAAATAGGTTTCCTAAATTCACTTGATTTAAGGAATTCTAATGGCACTCAAACCTTTATAAGGATTCATTTGTCCCATTTCCAAGAGGACTCCTATATGCATTTGATATTTGAAAACTTATATTTAAGGAATGACTCCTCAATGCATTTGGCCAAGAAGAGTTTTGATAACACAATAACTCTTTGCTCACCATTGAAAAAGTTATAATTGAAGAAGAATTTTGCAAGATTTATTCTTAAATGTTTAGATGAAAGCAACTTCATGGTTTTGATCATCCAAGATTAGCCAAACCTATCTCAAGAATGCAAGATCAGGTATGCCATTCATGATTAAGGGTGTAAACGATACATTAGTACTAGTAAGCTACTCGGGTTCAATTCGAATAAAACTCAAATTTGGCTTGATTATTATCGAGTCGAGTTCGAGTTCGAATAACTTGACTTATTGATCAAGCTAAATTCAACCATTCTTATACTCGACTTGAGTAGCTCGTGAGCCTAATCAAGCTTTTATTTTTAAATATATTTTAATTATTTTAATTAATAAAATATCTCGAACTTGAGCTCGAGTTTGAGCATAAATAATCGAGCTTTGTCAAATATAAGAATCGAGTTTATTTTTATATATTAATTAAGCCTAATTGAGCAAACTTGAATAGCTCGATTTCTATTTTGAATCAAGCTCGAGCTAAAAAATAAAACTCAATTGAGTTTGAGTTAAGTTTCAAGCCTCGAATTTTGAATTGAGCTCGAACTCGAGCTCAATACTGTATCAGCTCGAATTCGATTGATTATACTCTACTTATGATAAAATGTCTAAGATTGCATCCAAAGTAGCATATTTGGCTAAGGCTCTCCAAGATTGAAGAAACCATGTTCGGCCAAACATGATAATATCAAGATAACTTTCATCTCTGAGAGTTTGGATGAAAATTAACTTGTAATCTTTATCTTTTACTCCATAGCTGAACCTACTAGTACAAATAGGGAGGTTCACTCTATTATTCAACACATTTCCCATGACATCTCATATCCCATTCTGCACATCTTTTCTTCTTTTTTTTCTCTAATATTTTAGGTTTCTTTTATGTTTTCTTTGTATTAGGCTAGGGTAACAAATTGCCATTACAAAACTCATTTTCTTAAGTTCTTTTTTTTGCAATACAAGCATTCTTTAGTTTTAAGATTTATTTCTTTTGAAAGCTCTTTTACATTCTTTTTGGTTTACATTTTCTTTATTTTTCTTACAAGTTTCGACAATCATTCAATTCTTTCTTTGCAAGTAGTCAGGTTGTATCTAAGCATTCTTTCATATAAGCTTTCGGTTTAATACAATCTTGTTACAAATATTTCTTTTATGCAATTACAACTTTTCGTCAAACCTTTAAATCTCTCAAAACATTCTTTTATTTTAAGTTCTTGTTATATTCTACCTTAATCTAAGATTCTTAGTGACAACTATATATTAAGATCTTGGCCTACATTGTTCTTTAAAAGCTTTTTATTTTTTATTTTTATTTTCAATTGCAATCAACTCAATCTTTTATTAGTTTAAATATAAGGCTTGTGATAGTTGTTGACTTTAGTAGTTGAATTTACTCAACGATTAAATTTTATAATTTTTTTTAAGAATGATACTCTACTCACTCACTTTATTATTTGATTATAATCTGTGCGCTTGTAAGATTATAAAAAGTAGCAATAATTTGTTCCTTTAAAAACATTATTTTTATTATATGTAATTTGTTATGTGTTTAATCATGTGTTAGATGTCCAATTCTTTGGTTAAGATTGTATTTACCTAATAATGTCTCATTTCTATTTCAAAATGAATTTTTATTTATCATGTAATTATATTGATTTTCAAAGATAAAATAAATTAAAAAAATTTATTATTAAAGTCAAAGTATGATAAAATTAACTTTTCTCTTATAATTTTAAAAAATCATAAGAAGATGCACGTTTCTGATTTCAAGTTATTTTGGTATTGTTAAAAATATTAAAATACTTTTAAAAATCAGACACCTGAATCAAATATGAGAAACAAAAAATAAGATTTCTAAAGACAATATGACTTTTTTCCTTAAAAACATCCTAAAAAATCCTCAAAAATATTTTAATAATTATATTTAATTTAATTTATAATTTAATAAAAATATTATAATAATTAAAAAAAATGTTACATGTCCAATGTGTATGAAATAACGGTAAGATTATTTTAATAATTTTATATGTAATTAATTTTATATTATTTATAGACTGGCTCGTCTTCGTCTAGCCGTCACTGCATCTTCGCTGCTACTTCCTCTTCTCTCTTTCTTTCTTTCTCTTCTCAATTCCTTTCATTTACCCTTTTTTCTTTTTTTTTTTTGTTTCCTTCTCAGCTTCTGAAACTGGGTGCCCTTTTTCCACTTCATGTTATTAGTAAGTTTTTATATTTTTGTAACTTTTTTATTTCACTTTTCTTTGTTTTTGTTGGTTTTTCTTTCTGGGTTTTGGGTTTTTCGCTGTTTGGAACTCTGGGTTACTTTGTTTTGGTGGTTGGAGTCTCTGGGTTTTTTTTTTTTTTTGCTTTTTTTAGTCTTTGGATTGTATCATTTTATTTGCTGTCTACATTTAGCATAGTTGAATTTGAATTTTGTTGTTACTTTTTTTTGTTAATTAATTAATGATGATAATTGATAAACATCTTTTTGAAAATTTACCTTTTATTTTAATTAAATTTTCTCTGCAAATGGTAATTGGATAGTTATATTGAGTTATAATCTAACAAAAATAAAAGGAAAAAATGTTTAGGGGAAATTCAATTTTGATTGAAAATTGTTACTTTTAAGATAATCTCTAGTGATTAAATTATTTTTAAAATTGTATACTTTTTCAATGTTCATGTTGATGTTTTGATAGTTTTTAATTTGATTTAATGATCTTTGGTTGGTTTTAGAATTTGAAGTACAAAATCCATGGAGGTGCTGATTTTTTGGGCCTACTTTTGATTATTCTGTTCTTCAATTTTGTGTTTTTATGTAGACTTTTTGTGTGAAAAAAGATGGTAGCAGAGTCTTGGTTTCGCAGTCTTTGGAAATTTCCGAGGAGGCATAGGGGAGGCTCTGAGAAGGTTGAAATTGGAGTATTAACGTTTGAAGTTGCGAGCTTGATGTCTAAGCTTGTGCATCTATGGCAGTCTCTGAGTGATAAGCAGATTATCAGGTTGAGAGAGGAGATCATAAGTTCTGTGGGGATTAAGAAGCTAGTATCCGACGATGAAGATTACATCGGATGCTTGATATGTGCAGAAATGATTGAAAGTATTACACATGTGGCAAAGTCCCTGGCTAGGCTTGCAACGAAATGTAGTGATCCAGGTTTGAGGAGTTTTGAACTTTTCTTCGCTGAGTTGGTCCAGATTGATGCTGACCATTATGGTTGGATTTTTTCGTTAAAGAAGATGGACAAAAAAGTGAAGAAGATGGAACGATTCATTTCGGTGAATGCATCTTTGTATCAAGAGATGCAAATGCTTGCAGATCTTGAGCAAACTCTAAGGAGAATGAAAAGTGGTGATACGAAGCCAGAGAATTTAGTTGATTTTCAGAAGAAGGTTATGTGGAAGCAGCACGAAGTGAAGACCTTGCGGGAGATGTCTCTTTGGAATAGGACTTACGACTATACAATTCGCCTTTTGGCAAGATCAATATTCACAATATTTGGTAGGATCAAACATGTCTTTGGAATTGAACAAAATGTAGATGATGGGGATTCAAGGGTGACGAATTCATATTTTATGTATCGCAGCCAATCAGTTTCTACCTTAATGCAATCTTCAGTTCATCCAACCGAGAATACTAGCCTTACCAGATTTTCTTCGGGTCCCTTAGGAATGTTTAGCACTAAATCAGGTCCAATTCCAAAACCAAATAAAACTAATTATTTTCATTCTGGGCCTCTTGGTGGCTCAACCACAAAAACAGGCTCTATTGTTGGAAAGAATGGAAATTTCAACTTCCATTCAGGTCCGCTAGGGAGGTCTACAGCAAAGTCAGGACCACTTTTTGGAATGGATAAAATCAGCAAGAAGATTTGGCAGACTAACGGCCACCCAGCTGCTCCTAACGGAAAGCAACCACATTTGAAAAGCAACAGATTGACTCGAGTAGGACCTTTTAAAGGATGCATGATAGCAGCTGATGGTGCTACCAACAGAAATTGTTATAGGAGTTCAAATGGCATTCATTCAGGAATTCTTAATGGAACCAAAGATGGAAATCCTAACCTTCCTGAAGAAGATGCTGCTCAAACTAGTTCATCAGCATTCAAATCTCAATGCAGGTTGTTGGATGCTCCACCTGAAACCCTTGGTGCTTCTGCTTTAGCCCTGCACTATGCAAATGTTATCATTGTAATTGAGAAGTTAGCAGCATCTCCTCACTCGATTGGTCATGATGCTAGAGATGATTTGTACAACATGTTGCCTGCAAGTATGAGAACTGCACTAAGGGTAAGGCTAAAACCATATGCAAAGAGCTTAACTTCATCGGTTTATGATACAGAGCTTGCAGGAGAATGGACTGAGGCAATGTCTGACATATTAGAGTGGTTATCACCACTAGCTTATAACATGATTAGATGGCAATCTGAGCGGAGTTTTGAACAGCAAAACTTTGTTTCCAGGACTAATATCCTTCTGGTTCAGACTCTGTACTTTGCAAATCGAGAAAAAACTGAAGCAGCAATTACTGAGATTCTTGTTGGTCTGAATTATGTCTGGAGACTCGGTAGAGATCTCAATGCAAAGGCTCTGCAGGAATGTGCAAGCAGTAGAATCATTAATGAATGTTTGGACCTAGAGAAATAAAGTCATTTGACCTCAGTTGGAGCATCTCCGCGTATGAATGGCATCAGGTTGAATGTTGGCAAGATTCCATTTCATGTCAGCAACAGAGGCTTCCCTGTTCTATTCGCCAGCATTGATTGAAGATGAAAGAATGATACAGCCTACTGTGAAATACAGAATAAAGCATTCTTTGTGAGTCAGAGGTATAGTTTAAGCTTCAAAATAATTTATTTTATACTTTTCCCGGGGGGGGGGGGGGGGAAGTGCTGGTGATCTTTTCCTAGTTTTGAAGATTGTTTCAGTATTATCTTAGTCATAATACCATTTCTAGTTAAGCAGTCATCATGAAATATGTATAATACGATAATATTTAGGGATACCCTTTTAAATTAGTTGTATACTTACCGTATAGGTTTATTCATAGATTTATATGTTGCGCATGCCTCTTGCCTGGGTGTGCTTTTATCTAGCAGGCAATGTTTGATCTGACAATAGAGAGTTTTTCACTCTTTGATAACTGAAGCAGATGTAAATCAGGCCAGAATCCGAGGTTGAACGTAACCTTTCTTAGAGGTGGGCTATCATCTTTATGGCCAGCTATGACATTGCAGTGAGGTTGTTTGAAATTGTTTTGGTAAATGATCTCGCATGGTATGTTTTGTTGAATGTAATGTTTGGCGAAGAGTATTTAGCCGGATTTTCCATACATGCCTAATTTCTACGGGATTGGAGAAATCTTGCAGGCATTTAGAAATTTCAATGAATGGACTGAAACTGATGTACATGGTAGCTGATAAACATCTGGTTTTGGTTTCCCGAGTAGCGTAATTGTATTGCTTAAGAAAGAAATGTGGTTAGAGCATTTTGTTTTAGATTCTTTCAAGCTTGAGAGCTTCTGTTGATGTTTATCATCACCTCAAGTTGTCATTTTTCCTGCATATGCATTGTTTTTCCTAGATACCAGTTGATCATAATTTTGGTTCCTTAGAGCAGAGGCAACTGCCTCTCTTTTTTCTTTTCTTCAGTTCTTCAGATGTGCGGTTAAGAAAGATGAGAAATGTTAAGAGTCTAAAAAGTATTAGTCTGCATAGTATGAATGTGAGACATTAATGTTATGTTTGATACGAGGATGGAGAAAAATATTTAATTTAATGGCAGAGATTTATAACAGTATATGCTATTCTGTTGATTTTTTATTTTTTCATTCTTTTTTTTTTTAATCCTAACAAATCCAATGGAATGTAAATCTTTATTAGTAACAGGAATTAGAATTAGGTGTGACCTTCTCCAGTTACACCACACGAGTAGTTTGCAAAAGAAATAATTTCAAAATAATAATAAAAAAATGATGCAACAAAAGGCAGTACTTTAGAATACATATTTAATTTTTTTTCTTTCAAATGTCATAAATTTTGGTATTTTTTTAAAAAATTATCTAATTAGTAGATTTGATATTTTATTTGAATTACATATGAGATTATACAAATATAGGAATTTTCTTATATAACATCACTAACAGTAAAATCAAAATTTTACGGCATTTCATAATTATGGAATTTGGCAAGCCACCTGCGCTACTTTATTAAAAGCAAAATATTCTTTTCAATTTGTAAATCGGTTGGGGACGTTTGATTCAGAGAAGTAACCTTTTTTTTTTTCTTTTTTGAAATTTGATTTGTTAATTTGATTTATAAGAATATGATTCTTGAAATTTTTTAAAATATTCAATAGTTAAAAAATGAGAAAGCAAGAGAATAAAAAATTTTCCCCTCTTTGAGGGTTTTTTAAGATTTAAAAAAAAAGTGAAAAATTTTTTTTATTTGTTTTTACTTAATTACATTTTAGATTTTATAAATAACGTTATTTATGTTAAAAATATAATTGTTTTTTATAAAATACTATAAAATTTATTTTTTAATATATTTTAAATAAAAAATCACATTTTTAATATAATGTTTTTGAAATCATCACAAAAATTATGATTAAAAATGATCTTTACTGAAAAGATAAAAAAATTATTTTTTATAATTCAATAAAATAACGTTTTTAAGACAAAAAACATGGGTTTTGTTAAAAATGTGAAAAAAAATTATTTTTTAAAATTTAACAAAAATAATGTTTTTAAGATAAAAATATAATTTTTGTTAAGAATAAGATTTTTTTAAGATAAAAAAATATAATTTTTGTTAAAAACATAAAAAAATATTTTCAGAACTCAACAAAATAACGTTTTTAAGATAAAAAAAATACAATCTTTATCGAAAAAAAGATATCTCTAAGATAAAAATGTAATTTTTTTAAAAATATGAAAAAAATGCAAAATATATTTATTTAATATTATTATAAATAAAATCTAAAATATATTTATTTAGTATTATTATATATAAAATTTATTTTAGGGACTTCACCTGAAAACCTCCAATAGCAAGTTTATCACCCTTTTCCAACCCCCACATTGATTTTACTGTAAAGGTGGATCCATGTATTTTCTCAACGTAAAGACAATTAAGATTAGAATAATAATTAAAATTATAAAATTATAAAATTATAAAATTATATTAATTAAAAATATTAAAAAATTAATTTTTAAAATTATTTAATTTCAGCAAAAATAAAATATTATTCAAATGTCACGTAATATTTATATATCAGCATTATAATATTATGTATTATTAAAGATAATATAATAAAAAAAATTATATTAGCTAATCTTATATTATTGTGAACTGAATGCAAAAATCGTACATTCATTAAGTCATCAAAACTCATAAATCATACATTTTCTTTTAATATCACTTTTTTTCTAAATTGCTTTTCCTCTCAAAATCTAAAATCTGTAAAACAAATGCCTTAAGAGACAATAAATTGCAGTTTAAGACCCAAACATTATCAGAACAACATTTTGTAATTCTTGACGGATTTTGTTGGAAAAAAATCAATCTTGCCTTTTTTTTTTTTTTTTTCCTCCACTCTCTTTTCTCTCTAAATGGGTCAGAGATGAAACCTTAATTTTCTCTCGCATCCACCTCGTGTTCGCTTGCCAAGAAAGATTGCACAACTAGCAAGAAAAACAAAAGGAAATGATCGATAAGGAAGCTCGTTTGTGGATTGTTGAAATTCTATTTTCTCACGTTGTCTCGATTACCAAACAAAGGTGAAATTTCATGGTTAATTTTGTTTTCCTTTTAAATGTTACTCAACTTCTGTTATACAACCAACTTGTTCTTGTTTTGAGAGAAGAATAGAAATAAGTTATATTAAAGCTGTGACTAATAACATGTATTTAGTTGTTTAATCAGAAAAAAAGGAGAATCGAAAAAAAATAAAAGGGGATTATCTTTTCATATTTTAAAATTTTGAGTGTAGATTGAGACTTTTAATTTTATTTGGCTTTAGGTATGAATTTAAATTTTCTTTAAGCAATTTCATTAAAATCCTAAGTTTGTGTAGAACATTTTGAAACTATTTTATATATAGCTCTAGCTAAATGTATTATAATAGAATGTATAGAACAGAAAAAAAATTTGAATTTGTGTGTAGTTGCTGTCTTTATATTTTCTGGACACCAATTGCTGTTTTTTTGTGTTAATGACTATGTCTATGTAATGCTTGTATAAATGCCCCTATGAATTTCAGTTTATGAAGTTTCTTTTTTTTTAAAGATAGCTTCAATTCTTGTTTTGTATAGTTTCATTAATTAAGAGTTAAAAGGGTTAAGAGGGTTGACATTGGTATCAAGGTCAAGTGATTACTTGGTGTAGGAGGCATGGAAAAATTAAGATCATGAGATTTGCGTATTTGAGTTTTAAGGTCAATTGATCATTTGCCCTTCTATAAAGAGCCTAGGTAGTTGCTTTTGTTGGCAAATTTAGCAAGTCACCTGCAGTCACTAGCTTTCTTGGTAAATATAAACATTATTTACTAGTTGATTAAGTAATTTGAGCTGATTTTGTCGAGAACATCATTAATTTTAGTACAGAGACTCAGTTATTAAACATTTGCTTTGAGCGATTTGTTTGGCTTTCTTGCTTCTTTAGATTTTTAGTTCTATTAGTTACCTTGTTAAGTTTAATTTTGTGCAATTTATTTCATGCTTTCCATTATTATTTGGTTAATTTTTTATGAGGTTTTGTTTTTTTCAGGTTTTGCACTATTTTTGAAATTGAGTTTATTGAATTGATTTCTTTGTTAATTCATGTTATTTTCTTATTGATTTAGGTAGTTAACTCATAGATCTAGGTTGTTTTAGTTCAGTTTTAGTTCATTCCCTCTAGAGAATCATAGATCCAATATTTCTTCCATGAATTGTTAGTTTCTAGCTTGCAAAATCAGTTTTGTTTTCTACTTCCTTTTGTTGAATCCTTGCAATTTTTCTTTAGTTTTTGTTCTTCAATTTGAAATATCATAATTTTCATTGAGTGATCTTCCAATTTACAGCTTGTATCCATTTAGTTTTACATGATTTAGTTCCATTTTCTATCAATCCATTTGAATTTCTAGCTTTGGCATTAGCTTTCCATTTGCGCTTTTCATGTTAAATCTTGCATTTTTTTTATTATTTGAATTTCATACTTGTCTTTGCTGTAGTCCTTTACATGATTTTGCAATTTTTTAGTTTTAGTCCATTGCCTTTTTTCCATTTAGATTCCATATTATATTGCAAGTTACGTTTTAGTCTAGGTTAGTTGAGAATTTTTTATTTTGCAATGTTATTTGTATCTTGCATTTTTATCATTTCAAATTTACTTCAAATTTATTTTTTCCTTGATTTAGCTACTGTATTTTACATGTTATAGCATGCATTTACTTTTTGTTCTTTTTCATTTTCTCATTTACTTAGCTTTATATTTTTTAGGGTTTATTCACTTTTATTTTCTTAGTTAATTTTCATTTTTTTTTATCGAACCAACTTTAGAAGGGTATAGGGATAATAGGTACTTAGGCTAAGAAACTCTTTAGCTAATCTTCATAGGATCAACATCTTGACTTTTTGGTCACTATATTACTTATACAGCCTGTGCACCTACAAAGTTTGCTCAATCAAGTTTTTGGTGTCATTGTCGAGGATTATGTGTAAAGTGTCTTAGGTTAATATCAACTTTCACCATACTCTGCTATAGATTGATTCTCTTTAGTGTATATACTTTAGGCTAGAGCTTAGGCTTGCCTTGGTTTTAGGTGTATATATCCTAGGTTCCCTTTGTAGATAATTTTTGTTCCTTAGCTATATATACTTAGGTTTCCATTTATAGTTTGACCATTAGGTATAGTGTTATTGTGGCCTATGTATGCACTTAGTTAGGAATCATGAGTTGATCCCTTTAGATCTTGACTTTGAGACTACTTGTAGGAGGATTATGAGGTAGAGACAAATTGATCCTACCATCACCATGGCTGAACAAGACACTAGAGCCCTTAGGGATTCTACTGTGCTTAATCTTCATGGTTTTCAGCCTAGCATTAAAAGGCCAGCAACACAAGCCAACAATTTTAAGATTAAACCTACAACCATCCAAATGATATAATAGTCAGTGCAATTTAGTGGTCATTTGAGTGAGGATCCGAATGCTCATCTTTGAGATATTTTGGAAATTTGTGATACATTTAAATAGAATAGTGTTGTTGAGGATGCCATTAAGCTTCGGTTATTTCCTTTTTCTCTTATAGATAGAGCCAAGAGTTGGTTGGCTTGATGCCACTAGATTCCATTACTACTTGGGATAATTTAGTGCAGAAGTTCATGGTTAAATTTTTTCCTCCGACCAAGACAACCAAGCTTCAGAATGAAATTACTATATTTGCCCATCATGAGTTGAAAACCTTGTATGAGGCATGGGAGGGTCCAAGGAGCTCATGAGGAGATGTCCACACCATGGACTACCGAAATGGCTAGAGATCCAAGCCTTTTATAATGGGTCAGTGCCTAACACTAGGACACTTTTAGGTGCTGCATTAGGAGGTGCTTTGATGAGTATGACTTCTGACATAGCTTATGAGCTTATTGAGGATATGGTGACTAAAAATTGTTAGTGTTCGAATGAGAGATAGCATCCTAGAAAAGCTTCGGAGGTGTACAAGGTTAGTGAACTTACAATGCTTAGTGCTAAGGTAAATGCTTTAGCCAAATTTGTAGAGTCTTTCAATTATAAGGTTACACCCTTAGAGTCGAGTTCTAGTCATTCTAAGTTTACTCATACTCAGAGTTCCTTAGCTATTTGTTATGTATGCAGGGTAGGTCACCCAAGGGAGTCATGCCTGAGCACTTATCCAGAGAGCATCCATTATTTAGGATAGACCCCTAGGCAACCCAACAACCCCCATGTTCCCACATAATGCCGAAGTTAGAGGAATAACTTAGTGCAATCTATCCAGTCTATATAGGTATCACAGCAGCCTCAGTACATTAGACCACCTCACCCACTAGGTTCTTAGCAGCTACCTTTTCAGCACCAACATCCTTCATAGAGCTACATCCTTACATATCCATCTATACCACCCCTAGAGAAAAAGACCGCGGTCGAGGATATTGTAGGTTCTTTTATTAAGGTTCAGCCTCATTTATGCAGACTCAAAATACCATGTTTCAATATCAGTCCTTGTCCATAAAAAACTTAAAGACCCAGATTAGTTAGTTAGCAGCCTTTCTTAATACCTGATCACAGGGCATCTTATCTAGTAACATAGAGGTCAACCCTAAGAGGGAGGCAAATGAGCACTGCAAGTAATCACACTTAGGAGTGGGAGGCAGTTAGCTAGTGGATAGGGCCCGATAATCTTTAGGATGTGGTAAATGAGGAGTCTAATGATAATGAGCTTGATATAGACCTAATGCATGATGAGGGGAAAGGCAAAAAAAAAAAAAAGGATAAAGGTGTAGTATCTGTTTATATCCAGTTACCACAAACACCATCCTTTAATGCTTTACCGAGTTCATCTGGGTTTGCTTCTCCTAGAGTTGAGCCACCTAGATATTATATTTTTTTTTCTTTAGAGGTTTGAGAAGTAGAAGAAAGAAAAGCAATTCTCTAAATTTCTTGAGATGTTTGAGAAGTTACACATTAATATCACATTTACAGATGCACTTGAACAAATGCTTACCTATGCAAAATTTATGAGGGGCATTATCTCTCAAAAGAAGAGATTGGAGGATTATGAGACAGTTGCACTTACCACTGAGTGCATATCTATAATTTAGAGAAGACTGCTTATAAAGCTTTACCATTTCATGTACTATAGGTAATATGTCATTTGATAGAGCTTTGTGTGACCTAGGTGCCAGCATTAACCTGATGCCTTAGTCCATTCTTTTAGAGATTAAGTATAGGAAAGGCTAAATGCACCTTAGTTATTATGCAGTTGGTCGATAGATCACTGAAATACCCTAGAGGGATTATGGAGGATGTCTTGGTTAAGGCAGAGAAATTCATTTTACTTGTTGATTTTGTGGTTCTAGAGATAGAGATGAATTGTGAGATCCCGATTATTCTAAGGAGACCCTTTTTAGCCACTGTTAAGCTTTGATTGATGTGCAAAAAGGGGAATTGACCATATGAGTTCAGGATTAGAAGGTCACTTTTCATGTTTTTAAATTTTTACCATTCTTTGATGATTCTAATGAGTGTTCGAGGGTTGAGTTATCTAGTAATGTGATTTATGATGTTTTACACCTAGAACACCCTATTTCATATTTTGAAGACTCCTTTGTAGTGGATAAAGTAGAGGACATGGATTTGAGTGAGGATGATGGTGAGATATTAATAGCCTCAACTTTTCGATTTACACCGCCTTCTAATGGTGAGCTTTTAGTTGATCCTGATAATCTCCCTAGAGTGATTAGACCTTCAAATTTAGATTCACTAAATTATGAGATATTTCATTTTGATGATGCTTATCAAAGTTTTGGGGGTGATGATCTAGTTGTTATTGATGGGATCTCATTGTTAGTTGATTTATCGATTTTTGAGCAATTTTAGTTCAATTATACCTATCATAATCCTTCTAGGAGGAAGAGTGTGGATATGATGCAAAAAAGATATGACATAGTTTATGTTGATCATAGGCTGATTGATTGGATGCTAAAACCAAAACCCATTTACCTTAGTCCTTCTAGGTGTAAAGTTAAGGGTTTTCTTGAAAAGTTTACTGCTACTCCGGTTTTCCCACATTATCCACCATTAGACTATATTTGTGATGAGATGGTGAAGAGAGAGGTCTTGAAACGGTTGGATTTGGGAATTAAGTGTGGAGTGATTACTATGAACCTATAGGGTTGAGCTTATTTTGATAGTTTAGCTTTTGACTTTAAATAAAGCATTTCTTCGGAGGCAACCCAAGTTTTACATTTCATGCTATTTCTTCTTGTGCATGTTTGTGTACGTATGTGTTTGCATGATTGTTTTCTTCTTCACATTCGATTATTTTCATTTGTACATAGTTGTCATTTTTGTTCATTTGATTAGGTTGTATATACTTGTTCATGTGTTCCTTCTTTTCTTTTGGTTATACTTTTCACTGTTCGTATTGATGAAGTTTATTTGTGTAGTTGTTTCTTTATTTTGTAGGTTGAATAAGAGCTTAAAGAAGATGCATTAGTTTCGGCCAAAGCTTTGATGGGAGAATCGGTCACCATGCCTCCATGTTGATAGGAGAGTTTTCTTGTTTATATCTTTTGTGCTTTATTGGTTAATGCTTGCACATTGAGGACAATGTGTTGTTTAAGTTTGGGGATATGAAAAATTGCTCCAAAATTTGAAAATTTTTTTTTGAATTTTCCTTAAGTTTTGCCTTGGAATTGAGCTTAAGTTTGAATTATCATTATGCTTTCTTTGATTAGTTCTTCATGAAGCCAATGATAAGTTAAGTGTAAAATATGAGATGATTATAGCTTTGAGAATGAATATAGCTTTAGGAAAACTTGTTAGCTAGACTTCATCGTTATAGCTCTAGGAAAGCAGCCACTGGACTTCATCGTTAACTCATTCTATCCTTATTATGATTTTGCTATCTAGCATTTGATATGTCTATATTGTTTAAGCTTTTCGTTATCATGGCTCCAAACCACAGTCCCGATAAATTAGTTTAGTGTATTTGAGTTTTAAGGTCAATTGATCATTTGCCCTTCTATAAAGAGCTTAGGCAGTTGCTTTTGTTGGCAAATTTGGCAAGTCACCTGCAGTCACTAGCTTTCTTAGTAAATGTAAACATTATTTACTAGTTGACTAAATGATTTGAGCTGATTTTGTCAGGAATAGCATTAATTTTAGTACCGAGAATCAGTTATTAAACATTTGCTTCCATCAAAATCTAGCATCTATATATTAGCTAAGGGAAGAAATGCAGATTGCTGAAAACTGGAGTTCAAAGTACAAAAGTGAAAAAATAAAGCTGCACAAATTGAAATTCAAGAGGCAAGAAAATTGTAATATTGCAAGCCAAAGAATTATCTTTTGAATCCATCTATTAGATTAAGCCCACTATGCTCTTAAGATTGGTCACTTGGTAGTTGGCAAGCCAAGTTGTTACATCTTAAACGGTTTTCTTATAGCCAGTAACTGATGTATGCTTGTGCTTATTAACAAGGAACTTGTTGATCTCAAAAGTTTCTAAACTCAACCAAACAGAGAATTTTATATAAAATAAATAAATAATGATTTTATCTTTCACTCATGCTGGTGCAGAAAGCTAATCACTGCAGGTGAGTTGCTTATTCCATTTTCCACTCTTCATTTTGCAAATGTAGCAAATCTCCACATGTGCCAAACATAGACATCAACTCAGCTTCTGTACCAATGTGCAGTAGATAGGCAGTAACAATAAGTAGATTAATGGATATACTATTCATAAGTTTTGCTACTCAGAACTATAAGAAAAATAATATGATAGTGCCAATTATTTGCAACTATATAGGTACCAAAGGTAGATTATTTTCATGAAATGATTTATGGGAATGGGATTGAATTATGCACTGGAGGCTTTCAAGATTCTTTCATCACTAATTGTCTAAGATTGATTGTTTTTCTTTTTAACATTTTACTCAGGCATTTGTCTTAATTATTTCTATGTTTCTTTAATATTTCTTGGGATGTAAATTTACTTTATCTGGTATTTCTGTTTTGAAAATTTCACTCAATTAATAAAAAATGTTTCTTGTTCTATTCATCCATTGGCTTTCCGAATTTTATCATATCTTGGGCCAGTACTAAGCAGAGTATAACCTCTTAATTTACTTTAAATTATTCTATTCTCATAATGATAGAGATTTTAAATGGTTTATCTGTAATGCATCTTTTGATTGCAAATTTCTAGCCCCAACAGTAGCTCAATGGACTAGTGATTGACTCATTAGATTTGCTAACTATGCTATTGAAGGCAAGTGATACATGGAAGGAACAATGTCATTTTTACTTTTTTTAGTTGAGTTTATAAATTCTTTTTAATATTTAAAACATTATATTTGTATTACATTGTTCTGCTAATTACAGTTTGTGATACTGTTGTATAGAATGCTCTTACTGATATGGTAAAAGTGGTAAAAGTAGCATATGATGTTGGTTTTGATGCTGTTATCCAAATAGTTATTCAAAGTGATGACCACAATGAAATGCAGGTATAACTTTTACCTGAACATTTCTTTCTTTAAAGGTAATTGATTATCTAAATTATGGACATAAGTGCTAGTTTTGTACAATATTGATTAGAATGAAACAGAATGTTTGGCCTGTTAGTTATTTAACTTGCGTTAAAAATTTTATATTGTAGGTTTCAGATGCATCGAGTTTATTGGGATCACTATGTGCAAATAATTAAGGAAAGATGAAAGCTTTGAGGATGCAGCTACTACATTAGGCTTGTTGATAATTGGTATTTGATAACTTTTTGATTTGTTTTCTAATTAGTTCAATTCCTTAAGGTTGTTCTCATACAAAAATTAGGATGTTGTTCATTGTTATTACTTTAGAATTAAGTTCCGATTATATGTTCTTTTTTATCAGGTTACTTTTTTTGCTAACTTTGATTACATGGTGGTATTTTGGTTACTTGTGTAAATAAAATCATGTCAATAAATATATATTTGCAATTTCGACACTGATAATTTATTAATTGAAAAGTATTCACTGACATTCACCTAGCTGAAGATTAACAGAGTTATGGAATTGCTGGCAATGATAATGCTGACAGTTTTTTTGGTCTTTTACCGACACTTATAAGTAGCTGCAAAAGTGACTTTTCTTGTGGTGCATGAAGAAAGATTGTCCATTGTGTCCGTGTAAGCATACCGTTAAGTTATAATATCTTTGCAATTTATATTATAATATATATACATATGATATAATTGTATACATTACATGCATGATATAATTTAAATACATTGGTTAATAAGTTTTTGAGAAATTTCAAAATTTCTATTTTGGTGTAATTGTTTGCTAAATATTGAGATATTAGATAAATTTTAAAAAATGATAATTTCATTTAATATTATACCTTTTGAACTTGAAGGAACTAATGATCTTATTAATGTGATTAATTAATTAGTTTTTTGAATTACTCGTAAGGAATATTATTGTTGTGTATGTAATTAGATATGAATATATAATTTAGTAATTATCAATGCTTATTAATATTTGGAACTCATATTCTTCAAGCAATTTAAATTTACTTTAATATGTTATTATAATGCATCTTGAGATTTTCTGTGAAAATTCAACTTCCAATATCCTATATATCAAAACCTTGACAAACACAAAGCTAGAAATATTATGTCCCATTTAAGAAAACCTTGGTTTTTGTATTCCTTGATGCAGGATTGTGGTAATCTATGGTGAAAGAGAAGATATAGAGGCAAAAGCTTTGGGCAACAAATCAAGCCAGAATCCACATGAACAAGGTTGACCAAAGTGTGAGGGTGAGTGTTGCTACAACATAAGTCCATAGCATAATCACAGAAGTTTCACCTTGACCAAGCTGAAAAAACTGGGTTATGGTACCTGCCAAAGTTCATTAGAGTAACAAATTAGGAATATATATATATATATAAGAAAAACAGTTGTACATCAATATGCCAGCTACTAAAATTTCACTCGCCATGAAATTGTTGATGCTTGAGAAAAACATTTTAACTAGGGGTGTAATCAAGTAAAAGGTGCGTTTGACAAACGGTTTGTGAATAGGTTTAGTTTTTATTTATTTATATTTATTTATTAAATTTAATAAATAATCACAAATGATATTTCAAGGTTCGTTAATTAAATGAACAATTTATAAACATAGCAAAATCAGTTCATATTCAACTCATTTATATCCTTATTTTTAACTTTTTGATAAATTTAACTCATCATCTTTTTTATCTATTAAGTAAATTTGACTACAGTGGAAAGCTGTTAAAAAATCAAAGAGGGATAATAGCAAGTCAGGAAATGTTTAGTCAAACAATGAGATTTTGGATGAGAGATGTTTAGATGATGCAAAGTTTTAACTTGTTGAAATTGTAAAACATGCAGTAGAAGGATTGTCATACCTACAGCCATTGCAGGTGGAACAGCATACTGAAGCATAAGAACAAACTGAAATAAGGTATCTGATGATCCAACCAGGTGGAAATGGCGTGCAGCTTTAACAACACCGATCCCCATGAGAGGCAACAATATGTTCCTCACTGCTATAATCCCTATAATGACCGTCCGACTCATATCTGATCCTTTTAGACCTGCAACAACAATCTTCACATTAATAATAATTTTTCCTTTTTTATAAATTGCAGAAATGCAATGTTGTTTTTGACTATTCAAAGGAGATCGATCGAATTTGTCAAAATTCGACATGTTCTTGATGAAGCAAACTTTTGTGCATATTGAATGACCTTTTGTGCAAGTAAAGAACCACTAGTCAAGAGTGAAATTGCGAAGACTCTTTTGTCCAATGATACTAGAGAAAAACTTAGACGAATTTGTTCAAGGAAAGTTTGTGAAATTTTTAATATAATTTATTTAATTAAAATTTTAATGAAAAATCTAAATTGATAGGTTGATATAGCTCAATAAAAAGATTAATAATATGAAAAAAATTATAAAAAAATTATTTATAATTCAAATTTGATCAAAACTTTCAATAGTATAAATTCTATCAAAATTTTTACTACAAAAAACTGTTTAAAAAATATATCAAAATATTAAACTTTTTTTTTTTTAAATTTACACACTTATATAACAAAACCTTTAATTTATTGATTTTAATTTTTAATTTTAATTTTAATTTAATCATATTTAGTAAAAAATTTTAAGAACTTTACCCAAAAAAATTTTATCTAAAATCTTCCCTCGATATTATTAGCGTTTGTTTTTATAATTAATTAGCAATGAAACCACTCTTTTGTTAGTTAATAATAAAAAAAAAAAAAAGAGGGAATCACCTACCTCTTAAAAGGTTTGCCCCCATGACCAAGGTCATACATGGAATTGCTGCCTCCCTGCATAAATATCATCATATTTATTTATTAAAAAAAAAAAGAAAAAAACAAAAGACTGTGAAATCACTTGATGATCAGAAGCCGATACCCCAGTATATGTGCAGAGCTATCAATTACACGAAGAGGTGCGCTATTACCAATCATTAGTTTTCGGATTGGAGAGACTATCCCGATGATAAATCCAACAATCTGAAAGGAAAAGTGATCCATGTTAATAAAATTAAAGTTGTTTTTTGTCTACGTGCTGATCGAGCAGATATATGTAAACATTTTGGCATACCGCTGCAATTGCTGTTGGTGCAAACATCTTCTTCAGGTCAACCTTTCCTGAAATGATCTTCATCTGCTGCATTATCTTCTTCGAAATTGACATCTGTTCATAAATCTTAATAAGATCATCATTCAAGAACGCAAATTAAAGCAATTGTTTTTAGTAGCATTCAATGTCATGCCTACAGTTTTTTTTTATTTTTTTATTCTAGACTGTCAAGGTTTGAACTTTTGGTTACTGAAACCCTGTCAGATTTAACGTTAACAAGAAATTTTGGTACATAGGTTGTAGTTTGGGAATAAAAAAAAAGGATTGCAAGTGCTGAAATTCAATCCCAAACTTGCTAGATGCCACTGCCACCTCTTAAACTTGGCCGTAAATCTGACTGTATGAATCAGTTGAGCTAAGTACGAGATTCTAAACAAGAAATTAAAAGGAAAGGATTCGTATATTCATGCATACATGGATTCCTGAAAAAGCTGCAACATATTTGTGAAAGAAGCAAAGGCGAATATACGACATATTTTACAGGCAATTGCTTAAACTGGAATTATTATGATTTAATTTCGAGCAAACTAACTCAGGATTTTGCAACTGAATGTATGGGAATCAAATCCTGTCAGAATTACTAGCAGCACTCATGACAAAAAAAAAATTGACAAAGATGATGTCGAAATTAAAATCCCAAGAAAAGGTAGAATTTTAGATGACCATAGAGACGAAATAAACCTTTCCATTTGTTTCTTCGAAAATGGTGGGACGCATTTGAATGCTGTGGCAATCACTTGAAGGAAGTACAGCTAATTCTCTGGAACTCCCTGGAACTGTTTCAGTGGTGGAGCCATTTTCCATGCCGTTATTTGCATACAGGCGCATGATACCATACACATATGACCATATATAAATGGCTCCAATCTGTGTAGGCCGTACAAATTTTACAAAATTGTAATAAAAAAACTGAAATTAATATAAATTTATTTTCTGTTCATGTAAAAGTATACCGATAAGGATAGTGATGCATATGGCTTAGCATATGTAGAGCAAACATATGGATCACCAAAAGGATTATCTGACTCCTCACAGACTGCTGGAATCATAATCAGGGGCAGGTTCCCGTTATTTCCTGTGCAATTATTTCCCAAAGAAACAAAATAAAAACAAGAATAAAAAGAAAGAAATTTGAATATTTACAATCATTTAATTTACATATTGTTTGTATTAAATCAAAGGAAAATTTGAGAATAGGGAGGGATGGAAAGGAAATGAACCAGCTGAACAGCAACCAATGACAACGCCCTGAAGGTGTTTAGGAGTTTTAGTGATTTTTATGAGAATCCAAGCCAGAATTGATCCAAAAATGAATGTTAGCAAAAGATTCACTGGCATGAACCACCTGAAAAGAAAAACCAGGAACAAAAATGAACCCATTTCCCCATAAAATTTATCCATAGAAACTGAATATGAAAACATGGTGAGGGATGGAATGGAACTAACAATGTGATGAAACTTTTGAAAGTGATGGATTCAGCCAAGCTGCTGGCCACAAGTGCAGGACTTAGCACATAGAACACAATCTATACATGAGAAAAAAAAAAAGAGTAAAATATCTCAACTTATGCAGTAAAAAAAAAAAAGGTGTTGAGAAATACATTGGTTTGTATGTATTTACATTGTTCAAATGGTGTTTTGCCTCTGGCCCCAACAGATTTATGCGATCCAAAGCAATCACCAAACCAACACCAGTTATCACTATTACTTTCAGAACTGGCATTAGTGCAACAATGAACAGATTTAGAAACCCCATTTGCCAAAACTACCTTTCCCTGAAAAAAGGGAGAAGAAATTATATAATTTCTCAATTCCTTTAGCACCAAAAACAGATAATTATTAGAACTTTTGCAAATGTTTAAGTAATGGAGTTCAGATTTGAGGCTTTTTTATGTGATTGAGTTAAAGTTAAAAAAGAATACGCAAAATTGGACAATTTATAGTGTTATCATAAGAAGTATTTGCTAGGTAGCAAGGCAAATGACAAGACAGGTGCCAAGCAGAAATAATAATATAATACTATTTATTATTAAAATATTAATAAAAATATTTATGTTTAATAATATATAAAATTAAATTATTAAGAGATTTTAATATTTTAATTTTTATTAAAATTAAACAAAAATATATTTTTTAATATAATAATATTTTAATTCAATTCAAATTAAGTTCAAATTTAAAAAATTATGTTTAAAGTACGATTTGAATAAAACTATACTTAATAATTTGGTATAAAATTTTACCTATAAACATTTTTTTATTGATTAATCAATTTTTTTGTTAAACAAACACTCAAAAATATTAAATTTATTTTCTTAAAGTTAATTTCTATGAAACAAATGGGACGTTATTCTCAAATAATTTTACCTATTCATGTAAAACATAATCATTATTTTATAAATTAACAGTATGATAAATTTATCATGGTAATTATATGATTAATTAATTTGTTTCTTTGTTTTTCACTCTTTGATTTTACTATATATATATTGTCAATAACATAATGTGTTAGCAATTAGATTAAAAAAATTAATCGTAAATTGAAAATAAATTGAAATTTGTTGCCAAAGAAAAACCTTGCTAGGTGAAAATTTCAATAAGATTTTTACTACTTCATATAAATTTTAAATATGTTATAAAATGAAATTTTAATATCTATACATTTTAAAACTAATTTATTTAAAAGTTTTAAATGGATATCAATTTAACATTTTAATAAAAATCATTGAAAATAAAAAGTAATAAAAATTTGAGCAGCGAGAATCAAATTAGGACATGTCTTTTACTGAAAAGGAAAAATATGGAATAAAAGTGGGCTTTAAAAATTAATCAATTAGTATGTTAGCCCACTCCTTTTATAACTTAAAAAAATAAAAGGCTTTCAAAAGTTGGCGGACAAGGTTTGAGATAGGACTTTCCCATGTCTGCCTGACAAAAGGTTTGGGAAAATGGATGAATATGGCCGAGTAATTGAGAAGAATTAGGTCTACAAATGTAGTAATTAATGTATTTCCTTTTTCCTTTTAATCATGATATTTATTTTTTATTTAAAATTATCAAAATTTAATTTTAATCATTGAAATTAAAATTTTAATATTATTATAAAAATACTGTCAATGATCTTGTAATTTTGTCAACTAGAGCTGAAAAGCCTATGCATGATCTTTGGTCCTTTATCTTCTTTTATTTGTCTAAATTTTGTACAGATTAAACATTAATTAATCATGTAGGATACATACATGTGGACATTGTGCGATTAAATTATACAAGTGTAAAAAAATTATTAATTTTTTTTTTGTAACTTCTTATCTGTATAAAAATGTTTAAAACACTTCTATGGATTTACTCTCTCAATATTTTGAAAGTGTTCCAGTAACATATATTTATAATAATAATAATAGTATATGTACAATAAAGAAAGAATCAATGATAAATAATACAACTAAAATTATGGGGCTAAATGCTCAAATTAGGATCAAACTTATGAATGGTTACTCAATTTATGATCAAACGTTTTAATTCGTATAAATACGGATCAAACGTTATTGACTTATAATAATGTAAAATTTATTTTAATGGTAAAAGAGATGTGTATGTTACGCATCGTTATAACTCATAAAAAGAATGGGAAACAACTAATTGGGCAAATTCATGCTGATTTGGCCAATTCATGTTGATTTGAAATTTTTTATTACAATTTTGAAAAAAAAAGAAATGAAAAGTTTTTTAGCTAAAAAAAATTGCATTTAACTCAAATTAGAAAAAACTAAAAAGTCCCAAACCTAAAGCAAATCACCCTTAACCCTAATCACTTAGACAAATTATTTCAATCACTAATTCAATTTCATTTGTTAATTTTTATTAGGAAAGCGCTTTATTAAACCCTATTTGAGGCTAACCAATATTTGGTTCAATCGATTACACTTCAATAATTAATTCTTTTTAAGGTTCAATCATTGGAGCTCTAAAAATTTGGAAGGTTAGTTGTTATTTTTTTGTTAAATTTGTGTAAGGTGAATAATATGGTGAATAATATGTATGGATATTTTGGGTTATGTTGTTTTTCATAGTTAGCTATTTTGTGATTGAGGGTTTTTTGTTGTTCTTCAAAGTTAGGCATATTCTGGTTTAGGGTTTTTTACAATTCTTCATTCATGGGCATATTATGATTTACGTTTTTCTGTTGTTGTTTTTAATTATTCAAATTTATAGTTAAGGTTTTTTACTGTTGTTCTTAATTGTTCAAATTTATATTTAAGGTTTTCTACCATTGTTCTTAATTAGTCGAAATAATAGTTAGAGTTTTCTACTATTATTCTCACACTTCAATCTCTAAAGCCATGTAGTACGATTTCATTGTTCCATCACGAGCATACATTAGTCCAATATATGATCATTCGATTCGAGCATTCACACTTGATCCAAATAGACTTTTGAAGGTTGTAATGTAGGCCATGGTGAGGGATCATGAAAGAAATGGATAAAATAGGCTTAAAACATGTGTTTAAAGGGTTTAAAACTAAAGGATCATTTCTTATCATTTGAAATAACTTGGCATTTTGCCCCTTTCCACTTCATTTCACTACTTTTTCCATTTTTCCATCTCATTCCTCATAAAAGGACTCTCATTACTTTGCCCCAACTTGTTTGTGGTTTTTTTTTCTTTCTTTTTTTCATTTTGCTTTTTTTTTTTCTCTCTTTGAGACTTTTTACGATCTTTTTTCTTTTTTCCTTTTTTTTCAAAAAAAATACCCCTCAATGTGAAGGGTGATTCTTAGTTAGGATTCTTTAGAAAAAGAAATCATAATAGGCTCAAAGAGGTAGCAATGAATGATTTTTCGAATGATAAAAGAAATATGACCATTTTTCATCTCAAATGTGAATGCTTTCTTTGAAGATCATCTATTAAACAAAATAAGCTCATATATCCTTATAAAAGAATGCATTTTCAAGATATATAAATCTCATATCTGTCAGTAACTTATTTATTTTTTTGCTCAAATAATCTCCTCAAATCAATATAAATGAGTTCTCAAAATTAAATCCTAGAATTATTGTTAGCATCATTGTCTAAACATTCATCATTGAGAATTGGAATGCAAATGAAAAGTTATGAAAGGTGACAAAGCATGGCACAATAGTTAAATGAAAGAGAAAATGTAATGAAATGCATTATTCTTGCCTTTTATTAAAATGATAAAAAATGAAATCCTATTGCATAAAAAAAATTCCTAACATTACTTTAAAAGAAATTCTAAAATGACAAGCAGCTTCCAATAGCCTTAACAACCTTTTCAAAATTATGCCCCTGTGCAATTAGGTGAAAGATTTTTATTGACATTTTGCCCCCCTGATTCGTCGAAGCTCACTAAGCCTTTCTGGATCAAACTTTGCACTGTGTTTGAAAGCAAGGTAGGTTTCAATAAAATGACCTACATTCCCATTATGATAATCGCATGTTGCACTAGCATCATACCACTTTGGATAAGGTGGCTTCAATGGTTCTAGAATAACTGGAGAAACCAAGTTGTTCTTGACGAGTTCTGGAAATAACTCAATATAGGTCATAGGAATAGGATCAATTTGTGCTATTTCTTGGCTATCCCGAGATCTCCTTAAACTACTTGTTTGATTGTTAGGCTTTGAAGTTAATGCAATGATATGACTAGAATCATATGCAGGTATTTGAAAGGCTGATGGTAAGTTAGTGAGTAAGCTAGTTGTGGATATGGTTGATATGGGTAAGGTGAGATATTGTTCCTAGCAGGATAGAATAGAGGACAACCTTGTGGTGGATAGGATTGATATCCCTTAAATTGTCTACTAAAGCTCATAGCTTAAGCTTCAATCTCTTTTTTTTCGGGCACTTTTTTCGTTTCCCTTCATTTCAACTTGTCATTTTTAATGGCATTTTCAATAATTTCACTCGAAATTACCATGTCGGTGAAATTCTTTGTGGCATTCTTTATCATTTTTTCATAATAAAGAGATTTCAAAGTACTGATGAACAACATCATGATATTTTTCTTAGTCAGAGGAGGCTACAACTAAGAAGTGATATCCCTCTATCTTTGGGCATACTCTTTGAATGATTCAGTCGCTTTCTTTTTCATATTTTGTAAAGAAAGGTGATCTGAGGCCAAGTCTATAATATGTTGGTATTGATTAATGAAGGCATGGGTTATATCGCTTCAAGAATGAATACGGATCCTGTCCAGCTGGACATACCATCTAGTAGCAGAGCTCGTAAGGCTATCTTGGAATACATGCATTAATAGCTTCTCATTATTAGCATGGGTAACCATTTTTCGATAGTACGTGATAATGTGAGTTTTCGGACACTTTGTACCATCATACTTCTCGAACTCTAGCATTTTGAATTTTGGAGAAATTAACACATCTAGGACTAAACAAAGCCCAGAAGCATCTATTGAATCATAAAAACCAATACCCTCTACGGCTCGTAACCTTTCCTCTAACAGGTTCATTTTTTGTTCAGCTTTTGAGGCTTCTAAAGTCTTATTCTCCTTAGGCTTTAGCTTATATTTTTTTTTATATCATCCAAATTAGGGACTGGTATTGGTTTTACTATCTTTTCAGTAAAAACAAGATTTACATAACTTTGATACTGCCATGGATTTGAAGTTGATGGAATTTTAGGGTATGTGTACCCTACAGGTTAGGTAAACTGTTGTGGTGGTGGACCTTGTGTGGGTTGGGTTTAATGTGGCCCAAAATTAGAAAGGTACAATGGGTCATCCTCTTTTTGTGTGGGATGGTCTTGTTGGTTGGTATTCTTTTTTACACTCTTTCCCTTATTTAACTTATTCAAAGCCTTCAAAATCCTATTCAACTCTCATTCTAGCTTCTCTTAAGCTTTCTCTA